CCCTTGAAGAAGTCGATGAGTTCGACGTGTGCTCCGAACGCAAGATGCACAGAGGTGCGCAGAGCAGGTCTCTTCCCGCCTGCCCACTCTCTTCACGGCGTCTTCCGTGCACAGACATGGCTACTTGTATTGCGTGTGTTCATTTACGGTTAGTGTTTCTCATATCTTGTTGAAGAAAACTTTCCTTATCCCAAGATGCTGAAGATACTCTCCTTCGTTATCTTCTAGAAGCTTTAGATTTACCTTTCACATTGAGAAGTTAAACCTCCTCTGGACTTGAAGTTGTGTGTGTGGTGTGAGGTGCGGGTCCAGAGCCTTCCGCACTCCCCTGGCCCCAGCAGGCTGTCCGGCTGACCCGGCTGAGCTCACTGAAAAGCCCAGCCCTTCCTCCCCGTGCTGTGGTGCCGCCTTGTCGTGAGTCAAGTGTCCATGCACGCGCGGGTCTGTTTCTGGATGTCCGCTTCCGCTCCGTCCCCCGGCTGGTCCGTCCCTGTGCCTGCACCGCGCTGCCTGGATGACTCCCTGCGGCTCCGGGATAGGTCTGATCACGGGCAGGGCAACTACTCTACATTTACCTTTCTTATTCAAAAATGCCTTGGCTATTCTTTACTTTTATCTTATCACACATTAAAATAGTTCATTTCTCTTTCCAGTTGGTAATATTCTTAAAACAAAAAAACATCAACTTTAGTGCCTGTTCACAATACAAAACAAAAACCGCATAAAAAAAGACACCATTTGCCAAAAAGCTATTTGTACCTAAGAGTATCAAAGGTGCAAAACATTCACTTTCTGTTCAGATCTGTCTTGAAAGCGTAGCTATTCTCCTTGACAGACCGAACAGGGCGTCAGCCGCGGCCGCCTCCATGTTGTCAAGGGACCACGGCAGGCAGTTGTTTGGATGTGAGCAACGTGTCATCTGTTAAAATGTTTTGCATCAGCTTTTAAAGAATTTCCCTTAAAAAAAAAATCAAGTTAAGAGTGTTTGCTTCTAATCCCATTTCCCAAAGCAAATCACTTAAAACACATTGGGGTCCCACTTTTCTTTATACCAGGAAAACATCTATGCTCTGTCCATTAGCTTTAATTCTCTGCTGAAGCCACCACAACTCGCCAGGTGTAATGCGCACCCGCAGCTTAGCACTGCCCGTGTGTAAGGCGCACCCTTGTTTTTCCCTCAAAAATTTGGGCAAAAAAGTACGCGCTGTATGCGGCAAAATATGGTAATCCTCATAAAAATTCTCTGAAGTGAAGTAGTTGTGGTTTTTCTCTTCATTTCACTGACTGGTAGACGCTAATTTAATTTGCCCAGGGTCATATAACTATCAAATTGTATCTGGGATTAGATAGAACTGTCAAATTATATCTGAGACTGGAGCGCAGATTTGTTTGCTTCTAGGCCCAAGCATTTAAAGCTTGTTACACACCACTTCCTTAATCCTTAAACCAGATGACTCCTGCAGGGTATTTAATAGGAATGCAGTACAATTTTAAGAAATTCTAATGTTCTAAGTCACCCATTTCCAGTTAAAAATCTTGTTTGGCAGCTACAAAAGCCACTTTCCTGGTACAACTCAGGAAAACAAAGCAACAAGAGGTAAAAGCATCTTGGATCTCTTCCACAGCCCTTTGTCTCCAGAATAACTCTCCTCACGTGGACTTCCACGGCCCCTCAGGCCTGGCTCCCTTCCCAGATGCCTTCTGGCTACTTCTGCCAGGCTCCACTGCCCCCAGCACTCTCCCGGTGAACGGAGGTCTTCCCCGTGGCTGCACCTCTCTCTGCCCAGAGTGCCCTGCCCACTCCCAGCTACTGCCCCCTTTTCCTTTAAACCCGGGGAGCGCTTCCTTTGGGAGGCCTTCCAGAGCCTCGCCTGGGCCAGGCACTCCTCCTCCTCGGTGTCCCCTATCCTAGCATGTCCCACTGTCCTTGAGTCTATCTGCCTCTCAGACTAGACTGCGGGGCACTCGGGGCTGGGCTCTGCTGCCAGAACGGGCATTCGCCACCAGTCCCGAGATGTCAGGCCGACTCTCCTGCTAGGCGTATAACTAAAGAAGCGGCTAGGAGGAGGCCTCAGAGCAGTGACTTCTAGTACGCCCAGGGTGCGTGCGCTCTCTGGTAGGAGTGGCGAACTGGGAGGCTTGGGGAAGCGATGGAAATAGCGTCCATGATGGACTTGGGCTCTCAGCTGAGACAGAGACAGGACTGCATGACAGAAGGGTCAGGTGTAAACGACTACGTACAGTAAGACAAGCTGTGACTTGTTAAAAGACTTTACAGAAGTAAAGTATTCCCATGAAGTACACAATTAACCTACAACAAGGCAGGTTCTTCTAAACTACATCCATTCCATGAACCGGGGGCCTGGTTTCGAGAGCAGCTGCGTCTCTGCCCCCCCAGTTTTGAAAGGAGCAGGTGAAGAGGAGGCAGGGGCAGAGGCAGGAGGACGTTAGCGAAGGGGAGATGGCCCGTAGGCCTTTGCCAGCTCTGCGGCCGCAAGCGGCCCGAGTGCCCCTCGGTGCCCTGCAGTCAGACAGTGGGCGGTCTTCAAGAACTTCCAGGCTCGGTAAAAGCTCACTGGCTTTTCTTGTTAAGAACCTAAGCTTTATTTTCAAAAGCATCTTTCCAGGAGCACCAAGCTGACCCCCTTTCACCACCAGCAAAATGGAGAAAAGGGAAAACTCTAAGGCGGCGACCCCAGGTTCTCTGGAACTTCCCAGCTAACCCCCGTGTCTGGGGAGGGGACAGAAAGCCTCGCAGAGAAGGGAAAGCCACTGTGCTCCCACACTCTTCCTGGCGCCCCCCATGGCCTCCGCTGTGCTCAGACCGAGGACTAACTTCCTTCTTGCAGAAACTCAGGACGGAGCACGTCGAGGGCTGTGGATGTTCTGGAGGCCGGATCACCTCCTGGCCTGGGGAGTGCCCTGAACTAGCTATTTTACTCAAACATCTGGGGACAGGGGTTGTTGACATTGGGGCAGCTAAGGCGATTCCAGAAAATCTTCAAATCAGAAAAGCCCGCCTCCCACTCACGTCTGGAGTCAGCAGCAAGTCTCCGGAAAAGAAACGTCGGCGAGCAGGGCTTGTGCTCAGACCTGGGGCTTGTGACCTGGCCCCTCCCATCTTCCCGGAAAGGACCGCCACGTGGGCAGTAAATAGGAACGACGGATCCACCCTCTGTCCAGATACGAAGACCTAGTCACACCACTCTCCTGCTTAGGCAGGGACAGCGGCCACTGGAGAGAACAAGCCAGGCACTGACCGGGAACCCACGCGACCCCACTGCTCCCCGCCGCTTTCCTTACTGCGCTGCCACTGGGGGCTCCAAGCCAGCAGGGTCACAGGCGACGTTACAGGTGACTGGCACACAGCATTTCCGGGGCACACGGTTTGAGCTCAGCGTCATCTGATGGCTGGGAGACACTGAAGGTTCTCAGGGAGCCTAGCAGACCCTGTGCGACGCAGACAGCTGGGGCCAGGTTCGCGTGAGTGGAATGAACCGCACGGAGCCGAGGCTGCAGGGCCCAGCTGCACGGGACACATGCACAAAGAGAGCAGGGCGGGCCAGCAGGGCCTGCTGCGAGTGGCCTCTTTCGAGCAGCGCGACAAGTTACTACAGAGTGCCGGCAGCATCCTCCCTCACGCCTCAGCAGGCGCAGGAGGCAATGTGGGCAAAGAAACCCTGACCCACACGATCCAGGGCTGCTTTGCGACTTATAGGAAAAAAGAAATTGTTCGGTAGCTCTGGCTGCCTGGGCAGAAATGACCCGCTGAGAGGCTGGAAGCCCTGGCTGGAAAGGACTCCGGGGGATCACGGCAGGGAAGGCAAGTTGCCGGGGGGCCGGTGTGGCTCGCGTGTGAAGGACCCACACCAAACAACAACAGGACAGGACCTGGCCGAGTGGCTCCGTGACACGGGAAGCACAGGAGCGAGTTACAAAGACGGGGCTCCTGCTGGAGGACAAAGGGACGTTCGCCTACATTCTTCGTGAAAAGCTCATTTTAAGGATTTAAAGTTTGCTGAACTTTAAAGGCTTTTCTCATCAGTTTTCAATGGAAAAGTTATCTCCATTCTCAGGAATATCATATACGAGTAGAGAATAATTCAGATCTGCAAACTATATTGCACAGGAAGAGGAAGATCAGACTCTAACTATGGGCTTATTTGGTGACGGGGACTCTTTTCTCTATGATTGAACCATGGGCCAAGGGCTCTCCGTCCTGTCTGCAGACCAGTGCGCATGCGGGTGACCAACCCAGACCCACGTCCCTTTCTCCTGAGCTCTTGTCTCTGCCATCACCTCTGACCCCTCCCCGCCTAAAGTCAAGTGTGAGAAGCCTGCTCACTGTTGAAAGAGAAAGTATGTAAAAAGGAAGATAACTGAGCAAATCCTGTGGATACAATCTACAAAGTCTTTTCTGCTTCCTAAGAGATTTATTGCATCCTCCTCTTTCTAGAGCTTTTCTAAGTTGTAAACGTTCAAATGGGAGACTGTGTTAGACCCAGGTCGAATGGGTGTTTTGTAAAACACTGAATGATGATCAGAGGAAGGCATAAGCAGCCTTGTTAAAGCCCGTTCAGCAGGGTGCCAGAACACACCAGCTCCTCCTACAAACAGCATGGATTACATTAGCAGGCCTCCACGGGTGAGTGGAATCCTCTTCCCAACTCGCGCTGCCTACCTTACGCTCACCCCATGGTTATATAACCTCTAGAATGGAATTTGGAAACTCTTCTGACCCTGCCCTGCTCGCTGATAGTGCTGAGCCAGTGGCTGGCAGGGGCACACTCTAATAGGCAAAACTGGAAACACCAATTCACAGTCCTTTTGTCTCGGCCCAGGGACTGTGCATGCAGGCAAGGAAAGACAGACTCGCCCTGTCTCCCTCCTCCCCTTCTCTGGCCTAAGTTCACGCTGACTTCACCCAACAGGCACCTGACCCTCCTAGATGAACTGGGAGGGGCTAAGGCGTCATCCACACGGGGTGGAGGTGCAGGCAGCGAACGGTATTTAAGATGCTGAGTTGTAGAGCCTTCAGGCTTGGGAAGGAAAGCTATAGGATGCCCAATTAAGCCACGTTTTCAGAAACTCAAGCTTTGACAAAGGCTAAGAAAGAAGAAGGAAAGAGAAAACAGAGTGGTGAGCCCATCGACAGTGAGGGTACAAGGTTGTAATTATTACAGCTCTGCAGCTCAGCTGGGCACATCCAGATTCCTCTCCAGGAAGAGCCTCCTCACCAGGCCCACGAAAGATGCTGACAAAGACCCTTTCAGCTGTGCCCTGGCTTTGCATTTTCATCTTGGCCTTTGTTAGTCACCCAGTGTGGCCACAGAAGCCCACTAAGCGCAAGACACCTGCACAGCTCAAAGGGGCCGCCTGCTGTGAGGAGGTGAAGGAGCTCAAGGCCCAGGTTGCCAACCTCAGCAGCCTGCTGAGCGAGCTGAGCCAGAAGCAGGAGAAGGACTGGGTCAGCGTGGTCATGCAGGTGATGCAGCTGGAGAGCAGCTCCAAGCGCATGGAGGCGCGGCTCGCCGAGGCCGAGGGCAAGTACTCCGAAATGAACAACCAGATCGACATCATGCAGCTGCAAGCTGCACAGACGCTCACGCAGACCTCGGCAGGTAAGGAGCACGGGTCTGCGGGTTCTCACCACCTTGCCCTCAGACAGCCCAGGGTCTCCCATCTGTGGCATCGCTTCTAGGTAACCTGCTGTCAGAACAATGACTGGGGGTTCTTTGGGGATATACTTTCTTGGGTACATGCTATTTTCTCTTTACTAAAGGTTTACAGAGTATTTCTTTTGCTTTCCAATGTTCTGTAAATTACCCAGTACCTTCACAGGTCTTATTCACACAACATCTCAGCACACTAAAGGTATGAACTACCACCGTGGAGCACAGAGAGATTATGTGGTTTGCCCAAAGTCACACAGCAAGACTTAGAAAGAGGGTTCAAGTTTCCTGATTGGTCCCCTTCCTTACCCAGAGCTGATGGGTTATACCCTCAGTCCTAAGGAAGCAGGAGTGAACACCAAAACCAAAACATCTGTTGCTCCGGGAGCAAAGTTTTGCAAAAAACAGATCTTTTCTGTCTCTAGCGTTTAGTGGAATGGGCCTCAGTGGAATTCCGTGTCCTCTCCCTGCAAACCGGCTCTTCCCATCGGCTCAGAAGGAAACGCACGGGCCCTGCCCGGGGCCTTCCGAAGAATTCCTCTGTGTTCAGGAAGGACGGGGGGGTCCTTGGGTTTCCTCGGTTCTGATACTGCTGTTTTCCCCCTGATCTCACATAAAACTCTCCCCAATAGTACAGGAAATAAGAAAATGCAATGCTGAAATTTGGATTTTTTAGGAGGCTAAAAATAAGACAGTTAATGTTTTCTTTTGCAAAATAACTTCCAGTTTCTGGTTAGCTTGGCTCAGATGGGTCAAGGTGAATCTGTCAGAGAGAGATCTGGTTTTCTGAAACTATCAGGGAATTACTAGTTGGAAAGGGCACATCCTATAGATATGTCATTTTCTTACTGAAACTTTTTGGTCGCACTAAGTCAAGAATAAAGAACAGTAAGTCACTGGTTACCCTTAGTTCAAATGAAAAAGTTTTAACATGGAATTAAGCTTAAAACTTCTGTCACCTGAACCTAGGTCTGTAAGTCACTCTCTAAGCGTGTGCTTCCCGACCCCCAGTTCGGGACTAGGAGGCGGTCTCCGGCCCCGTCCCACACCAGCGAGCCCTGCCCGGTCTGGGAGACGAGACCACACATGCGGAGGAGCAGGCCAGACCGAGGGGCATCTGAGCGTGCCGCTTCCTGCTTCCCCAGACCGGGGCTCTCCCCACCCCCCAGCGGGGAGTTCCTTGGGGTCAAACGCAGCTCTGCTGCTGGGACCCTTCCTCTTCTTGTCCGGGACAACATTCCTCACTTTTCCTCTCTGTCACCAGGGCTGGGTCACCTTTCCACTCCGTGAACAGGCAGCCCCTGGAGAAGGCAGTCACTCGTGCTCCCATCAGTAACAGAAAGTGAAGGACTCTGCTGGCAAGGGCCAGCCTTCCCTCCCCATCACTCTCTCCTCAGACAAGTCCCCTGGCAGAAGCGTTGCCCTCTGCCACCCGTGCACTCTTCTCACAGGCCCAGGGCGCCGGTCACCAAGAGAAGCTCCCGGGACACAGAGGGCAGAAGTGTCTCTGGTCGGCGAAGCTCCTGCTCGCTGAATCCCAGCAGGGAAGGCCGTCCCTCCCGCAAAGTCTTCAACCATGTTTAGAACGAGGAAACAATCTGCCGCGAGGCGGCAGTCCCCAGGGTGCCGGGGACACGTGTCAATCAGCCCCTGAGTGAAACCAGCCTGCCCAAGGCTCTCAGGTCCTTGTTCCAGTGACTGAGCTGGGAGGACCCTCCAGGGTCCCTCAGAGTGCATCCGCATTCATCTAGCTGTGTGCGATGAAGGTGGGGGGGCAGGCAGGATTATAACTCCATCTCCCTTAATTAGGACCCCAGTAGCCCTTGCCTCTGAGAAACAACAAAAGCAACCACCCACCCACCCAAACCTGGAACAGCAGCAAAACCAGACCCCATGAGGCAGTCACGATTACCTGGTAATGGAGGCTGGCCGGCCCGGAAGTTGGCCTTATTAGAGCCCATTATGTGGCCTCATACGCTGTCGTAATTCCAGGGTTCGTGGCCTAGAGCTACTGCAGGACGATTTATTTCAGAGTAAGCCTAAAGTCACCTGTTTGCTTGTCCTATGGATGCTCTCTGGGTGAAGGGCTTCCCCATCCCTCAGTCCCAGGGCCAGCGAAGCCAAATGCTCCAGCTCCCGGTCCCCCACACCCAGACACCGTCTAGAGCTGAGCACTCACGCGATGTGCGTGGTGGAGAGGAAGTCCACCTCCACCATGAGCTTAAACTTCCCAGTCCTGTGTAGCAGGAGGGCCGCCCGCCAGGGAGCCTGGGCGGGCGCGCTCACCGCTGTGGCCTGTCCCTCCCGCAGATGCCATCTACGACTGCTCGTCACTCTACCAGAAGAACTACCGCATCTCTGGGGTGTACAAGCTTCCTCCCGACGACTTCCTGGGCAGCCCTGAGCTGGAGGTGAGGCCGCCGCCACCCACTGCCCATGTCCTGTCCTCTGTCCTCCACGCCCTCAAAGGGACAACAGGGCCAGTCAGAGCCTAACGGAGCAGAAACTCAAGATAGAAACGAACACAGCAAATCCCAGGGAGCCATCCAAACGCTGCATTTACAGGGGGAAATCCAGGCATCTGTTTTGCCTCTTCGAATCACTATCAGTTAAACAGCAACGTTCTGACGTGTTAGCTGACTCTAGAACCACGCCCTCACTAGCTGGAAGCTCCTGCGTGTCCTGGAGTAGCTAGTCTTTGGGGAGGGGGAAGAGAGACCATGGAGGGAGCCAATCAGAAGTACCTGGAGTTTCCCCCTCAGACCCGACGAGCACCCCCTTGTCCCCATCCTCGAGGTTGCTAACTCTCCCTCAGCGAGCCCCCCGCCCCAGCTCGCCCGCACCACGGCAGGCTCGTGCCACAGTGGGCCTGTGCTCCCGTCCCTGGCTCTGCAGGGGCAGGAGAAGGTAGGTGCGGCCCACCCACACTCCCGCCTCTGTGGGTCCCTGACCAGAGCATCCTCTCCGCCTCTCTGCCTCAGGTGTTCTGTGACATGGAGACGGTAGGCGGTGGCTGGACCGTCATTCAGAGACGGAAGAGCGGCCTCGTCTCCTTCTACCAGGACTGGCGGCAGTACAAGCAGGGCTTCGGCAGCATCCGCGGGGACTTCTGGCTGGGGAACGAGCACATCCACCGGCTGTCCCGGCGGCCAACCCGGCTGCGCGTGGAGATGGAGGTGAGCGCAGGGCCTGGGTCCCAGGACCGGACCAGGCCGCCACCCGCAGCCGTGCGAACTCTGGGGGCGCCGTTCCTGCCCCTACTCACTTCAGGCCTGTGTGTTCACAGTGACGGGTTTCCCTGAGGCCGCAGTGCAGCTGAGAAAGAATAGGCTCGTCCCTGTTTTTCAGAAAAGTGAGGCTGCAGGGCCCGGGAGGAGGCCACCCTCAGGCCAGAGCACAGTGATCCAGCGGCCAGCGGCCTGGGGCATAAGGTCCTCTGTGTATAACCCTTACTGATACTGGTTGGTGACTCTCATCAGAGGCCTTGAAGCGTCACTACACTCTCGAATTGCTCTTGTGACACCTGTAAGTGGGTGCCATAAAGACACAGATCTACACCTCACCAACAGGGGAGTGAGGGGACACAGAAAGAGATGCTCACTCACCAAGGCCACATGGGGACTCAGGGGAGAAGCCTGGTCTAGGACCCTTGTTTGCCCACTCCCAGGTTGCAAGGTTTCAGGTACTGAAGCTGACTAGATGCCCTGCAGTGGAAAGCCGCACGGCTGTGGCTGGAGGGAGCAGGGGCCGGGCGGGGTGAAGCGGCCCCGCTGGCGTGTTTCTCAGCCTCGGCCCCTCCCGCAGGACTGGGAGGGCAACTCGCGCTACGCCGAGTACAGCCACTTTGTTCTGGGCAACGAGCGGAACAGCTACCGCCTCTTCCTGGGGAACTACAGTGGCAGCGTGGGGAACGACGCCCTCGTCTACCACAACAACACGGCCTTCAGCACCAGGGACAAGGACAACGACAACTGCCTAGACAAGTGTGCGCAGCTCCGCAAAGGTGAGACGGGGGTGGGGTGGGTGGGGTGGGGGGTGTAGGGGGAAGTTCAGGTTGAAGCTCAGACCCACGTGAAGAGGTGTGAATCATAACTTCGCGGCTGATATCCGGGCTTCGGTATGTCCTTTGTCTATCGGCCCCGACTGCTTAGCTGCCACTCACACCACCACCAGACAGACAGACCCCTGCCGTCTAGCCTGGCAGCCACTCCCGCGCGGGGGACACGCCCAGCTCACTGGCGCCCCTCCGCTTCTCCCACCAGGTGGGTACTGGTACAACTGCTGCACGGACTCCAACCTCAACGGCGTCTTCTACCGCCTTGGGGAGCACAACAAGCACCTGGACGGCATCACCTGGTACGGCTGGCACGGCTCCGCCTACTCGCTCAAGCGGGTGGAGATGAAGATCCGCCCGGAGGACTTCCAGCCCTGAAGGGCTGCCCGCGGCGGAGCGGGGCGGGAGACGCGGAGACAACGGAGGCTGGGCGGGGGGGTGGGAAGGGAGTGGAGGAAAAAGCGCCCATTGTCCCCAGTGGGAGAGGGAGTCTCTGAGGAGCAGGAGACACGTATACGCAGCCAGGATGTCCCAGTAGACGGGATGAAGGACCGGGGACAATGGGTCCTGACACGGAATTCTCAGGGGCTAGCTCTCTGCCTGGACCCCTGACACAGCACAGCTTCTCTCTTTTCCACATAATTTTTCTATGAAAAAACTAGTTGTGAGACGACTTTATCCACTTTCTATTAGGCCTAGGTTAGGTGAGGGCAGAAAACAAGTCCCTCTGCTGGACAGCACCGTGTACTTTGATTCTCAAGGAGAGGCCCCAGGCGTTCGAGAGAGCAGTGAAGGGGTGTAGTGGAAGAGAGGTTTCTGTTTTTAAATACAACGAAATCACCTTCAGTCTGCACATTTACAAACAGAGAGACAAAAACTGTTCTGCTGGAGGTGAGCTGACCCAGGATGGCCGCGACTGGAGGGCACTGCGGGGCCGGGCGCCTCCCCAGCCCAGCCTCGCCCCGGGCACGGCGCCGGAAGCAGGCAGCGGGGCAGGGGTGGCCAGGGGCTCCCGCGGGAGGTGGGGTGAGTTCCCTCCAGGATGCTTGCAGAAACCTGCCTGAAACTAGTCACAGTTTACAGACTTATCTATTTTTATTTACTCTGAAAGGAAAGAGCTTGAAGAGCCTCCTCCTCTGTCTACAAAAACTGGCTGGAAAGAGAAGGTAGATGGCACTATGGTTAATAACTCATGCTGTTCATAAGCGTTTCGCTTTGTAAAAATAAAATACAGGTTGTTCTAAATGTTCCAAGTTTCCTTTTCTTTCTACAATAAACTTCTAACACTTGTTCACTTCCAAATCATCACCGTCACACACAGAGCACGGTGAAAAGTTTGGGTGAAAAGTTTCAGCGAAAAACCAGAGCGTGGGGAACAGGAGGACCAGGCTGGGTTTGCTGCGGCCTCGGGAAAACCCAGAGAGGAGCGGGGGGCCAGGAGCCAATGGGCGAGGGGCTTCTCGAAGGGCAGCGGGCACTGGCCGAGGTCAGGTCTGGCCGACCCACCTGACCCCACGCAGGCCAATGCCACTGCCTGGCTCCAACACACTCTGCAACTACTCTGCACCCGAGTGAAGATCTTTAGCCTTAACAGACGGCGAATGATCTGGATTTTCAGGAAGTCCTTTCTCTTTGCCAGAAAGAACCATTCCCTTGAGCCACTCAGTGTGAGGTAAGCCATGATGCTTACTCTGTATTTTTAAATTGTATCTATAGTGCTTTGATTGTTGGGAATCCACCTAACCCTAAAAACAGAACCTTCGGGATCTTCAGAGAAATAAACCGAGCAGAGACGAAGTACACTGGAGCAGGGCTTCTCATGGGATAGGCATTTACACAGAACCTTCCTGGGGCAGGCGGAGGGGCAGTCTGAGACGCTTAGAAGCCAGCAAAATACTTCCGGAAAGAGAGGATAAAAAGATCGGGGGCTGGAAGGAGATAAAGAGGAGGAAGAGCCTGAGATGCCCACGGCAGAAGTATCTAATGACTGATTCTCTCTCACTTCCTACATGCCCCACAACTAGAGCAAAACGGAGGCTCTGGGCAACAAAAGCTAACATAAACAGGTGGGGAGGGAAAGAAAAGCAGGTGCTACGGACTGACTGTGCCCCACTTGCCATTCTACGCTGAAGCCTAACCCCAATGTGGTGGCAGTTGGGGGAGGGGCCTTTGGGAGATGTTTAGGCCATGAGGGTGGATTAGTGTCATGAATGGGATTAGTGTCCTCACAAAAGGGACCCCACAGAGCTTTCCACCACTCAGACAAACATCTGCAACCTGGAGGAGGGTCTCACCAGAACCCGACCAAGCTGGCACCCTGATCTTGGACTTCCCAGTTTCCAGTACAGCGGGACACAAATGTTTATTATTTAAGCCCCCCGTCTATGGTGTTCACAGCAGCCTGAGCGGACAAGGTCAAGAGACCACCAGACCTCACCCTGATACTGCGGGCTAACCCAGTAAGAGCTGCGTGTGTGTTTGTGCTTCCAAGCAATCGGACGCCCATTAGCCCTCTGTCCCCCCGAGAAGCAACCTCGCTCACCGACGCAGGCGAGCTCTGCGCAGAGGCACACCGTTTACCCTGCCCTCACCGGCCCCGCTCTGGGGATCGCACGCGGCCCTAACCTGTCCTGGAGCGCACGGGGAACGTGTCAGCGGGGAGGAGCACCGGCAGATCCATCCAGCAGCAGGACAACTATATTGTCGCCAGAGCACAGCTTTTTAAAACAAAACCAAAAACTCAGAATCAGCTGCGCACAGATGGTTTTGTGTACAACAAACCTGACTGTTTCAAAAAGAATTTAAGGCAGTCGACTCAAACGTTATGTACTTGAATGAGCTTTTGAAAAGTGCACAAATGGTGAAGAGAAAGTAAGAGACAGAAAACTGAAGGGGGAGGCGGGGAGGGCAGTGCACAAAGCAGGTAAGACGTCTGTGCTCTGTCTGAGGCGGGGCGGTCACCAGGCTGCGAGGAGCCCCTGTGGGGAAGGGGATCCCATCGATTACCGCAGAGCAAAGCCACCAGGACCAGACCCGAGAAGTGGCTGAGGGACGCACAGCCACACCGCCTTCCGACGACGACAGCGGGCAGTTCCCGCCGGGCCCACGGGGGGCTGGGGAAGTGCTGCGAGCCACTTCCTTAAGGGCAGCTTCACTGAAGGCTGTTCCTTAAAACTTTCTTCAGTGAAAACGATGGCAGAACATCGCAACGGTGCTTAGGAAAAGCAGGTTTAGAAAACTGGAAAGAAAAGCTACAAATGGAAACAAAGAAGGGTGGACCCTCTGGTCTGGAGACCAACTGGAGGGAGGCAGGCCGAGCCCAGCAGGACCAGGGGCGCACCCCAGGGCGTCGAGTTCTGGCTGCACTTGGAAACGGAGCTGGGTGTCTGCCCGTTTCCTCGAAGCCGACGTCAGTCTGCAGGGAACCCTGAGACTGGTTTTCAATTATCTGGCTAATAAGTTAAATGAGCTCGAATCCTTCTCCAGTCCCGACTGTATCTCTCTACTATACACCTGCATGCACACTAACGCTCCTGATTTCTCCGATTTGGGGAGAAATCTGGGTAGGATGAGAGACGGTTCAGAGAGGCACCAGACAGAAAAAGGTTAGCAAGGGAGTTCATGAGCGAAACTACTTCTTTGATGTTCATGGTGTCCAGTTCCCAGGTGTTTCATTAGCCACCAAACAAGACTGCGCGACCTGCGCCGGGGGCGGGAGGAAGAAGTGCGGGATTCTCACCCGCAGCCCGGTCTGAAACTGAGGCTGCCCCGCAGGATGACGTGTCGTTACAATGCCACGCGGTATTTCAGAAGTCAACCTTCTCTCCAAGTCCAATTAGCTGGGCAAAACCACAACTCTGTTTCTATCTTTTTGGTCACTTTTTAAAGCATCTGAAGGAACACTTTTTACTACCTGCTGAAAGCAGAGTGAGTGAGCAGAGAGCCCGGCCATTTGCTCGTCCTCTCAAGTATGGGAGCACCGCACACCCCTGCCCGTCTCCGCTGCGGCGGAGGCGCTTGCTAACCAGCTGGGTTGTCCTAAATTATCTGTAGTGAAATAATCAACCGTGTTGGCATCTGCATGAAGATAATTAGATCCCAGAGTTAATATTCTCTGATAATCATTAGGAGAAGTGAGCAGTTCTCCAGGAGCCAGAGCTAACATCTCAAGCTGTTTGTAATTTCCTAACAGCAGAAAGTGTACTCAACAACCTATTTTTTCCATACCCAGGAGACTCAGAACCCACTTAGGACAGGACAGAACACAACCACAGCAGGGGAAAGACCACGGAATCGCAGGCTTTGCTCTGCCTTCTGCACTCTCCGGGCTCCAGAGGAGGGTGCCCGGCACCAACGCAGAGAGTCGATGAAAGCCCGCCCTGCCCTGGGGCCCAGGGTCCAGCACTCCCCCTCCTGCCCCAGACAGCACTATCTAACCCGAACAGAAACTCCACGTTTCCCAGGCTGCTATGGAAACGGAGTGGCTCACGCTGACTTCACGGGGACAAACAAGCGCAGGTGGGAAAACAACAGGAGCCCAGGTGTTCAACAGAAGTGACAACTGTGGCTGGAAAACGGCGGGAGAGCCACCTGCAGCTGCATCTCATTCAAATGTGTCGCCCAGACCTGAGGGCGGACTTCACAGAGCGGAAGTCCCCAGGTGACTGCAGTGAACTGGCGACACACAGCGGAGAAGAGAGGTCATTCGAGGCGAAGGCAGCAATCCCGAGGGAGGGCGTGCGGCCTACCTGATGAGAGACTCGAGGATGGCGGGGGTGGGGCCCTTCTGGAACTCCAGCTCCTTGTAGTGCAGCGCTTTGGCGTATGCTCGGCACTTGGCAGCCCTCTCACCCAGCAAGACAATGCCGTTGTCGTCTCTCAGCGGCAGGGGGCCCTGGAGGAGAGCAGAGCCCCACGGCATAGGAGAGTGGCAGGCGGGGCACGAGCACCAGTGGGCTCTGGGGGTGCTTCCCCCCTCCCACCGGCCGGTTCCCCGGCTCCCCCCGGACAACGGGCAAACCTCTCACCTTGTCACTGTGTTCCATGAACTCAGCCAAGTTTAACAGGGTCTGTGTGACTTCAGCAATGTCCTGGGAGGTGAGGGCCAACTCAATGCTTCGGATGAGTTCGTCCTGCTGGTCTTCGTTCAGCTCGGACCAGCAGGACACAAAGGCGGCGTTGAAGAGATCCCTGAGGGCAGAGAGGAGCGGAGGAGGAGGAGGTTGAAGACGCCTGTCACGCCTCTGCCTGGTGCTGAGCTGTGTACCTCAGTCTGCTCCCGGCGCCCCTGACGTCAGCTACACAGACCAGCGCTGCCTAACAGAACTTGCTGGAAATGGTCTGTATCTTCCCCGTCCGATGTAGTAGCCATCGGTCACCAAGGACATGCGTGGATTGGTAAGTGTGACCGAGAAACTGAATTCTAG